CAGCTATATGCCACGTCAGGTTTGTTGCAAGAAATTATTGATAATTTTCTTGTTCTGTAATGCACTCTTCGACGAATAAGTACACAAAATGGATGGTTGTTGACAATTTTCTTGTTCTGTAATGCACTCTTCGACGAATAAGTACACAAACTGGATGGTTGGTATCTATAACTTGCCGTGGATCCAAGGTACGTACCATTCATTAGTGGAAGTCACAATTGGAACTAATGATTAAAATTATTGTCATTAGCTAGCAAAATTTAACCCTCCACATTTAAATTCAACAATCTAGAAACATTATAGTTGTTGGTGTCGATCTGAAAATCCACATCGGATCACTTGGTGATCCATCCTAACTTGATCGAATGAGCATTTTTCATTGAAGACAAACAGACATCACGATAGGATGATACATGAAAGACATCATCCGAAAACATACTCATGACATGATTAAAAAGGTGTTATCCTTAAGTGGTAACACCACTGCAACAACTAATCAGAAAAAAGTAATGATAACCTAAAGTGCAGACCTACAATTTAAGGACAACGATAACTCGTTGCCACTGAACTCTCAAGCCATTAAAGTCTCTCCAAAAAGAACAATAACACAGAGAAATACTTTGGACATTTATAGCTTGACATAATTAGAGTGACAGTCTAATAACTTATATAAAGAGATGAAGGCCCAACAAGAAAGGTCGAGCTGTTAAAAATCTCTACACAATTTATAGTCAAATTTCAGGTAATTACATCCTTATTATACCCTAATTTCGGCAAATATAACCCGATTATTCGATCAAATTTTCTTTAAGTTAATCTAGAAGTGCAACGTTATTTTTATCAATACTATGCAACACGGAATGTAGGGAGATGGGGGTGAGTGAGGTGACATGTGAAAAGTCCGCAGAGATGAAGTGACCGTTGGAGCATTTAAGCATAGTCATTGAAGAAGCATCTTATAGTCCTAAAATTTAGGTCTATGTTTATGTTCCAAATTTTCAAGTCTTCATAGTTCTCGATTTGATTCTCTTTCGCTAATACCAGAGCCACAGTAGTTTTATTTTCTTTAATTATTGCTTTGAAAATATTCAAAGTTAGTTTATTTTATTTCATATGGACGGTGTCTAAACTTTGTGATCACATTCGTTATAAAGAATACGAATTTCGTTATTGTTATGTAAATCTTAGGCTAATGCAATTGTGCAGGAGATGTTAGAGAATTATAAAATTTTAAGGAAATTTAATCTCGCGCGATGTTCAAAATTTTTTATTATTTTCATAAGTTGTCTTCTTCAAAATACTATGGAGGCAAAAATTTTACATCAATTAAATTTAAAAGGGCGATAATTAACATATAACAGGTTTGATAAAATATAAATACAAACTCTAAGCTTCACTAAGAATTCATTTTCATTGACAATAGACACATATACACAAGTGTGCGCACCAAATATGATTTAGACGTAGAGTGGCACATAAATTTTCCGAAAAGCTAATCATAGGTTCTTTTAAATAATTGTTTCGTTTAAATATAGTTATCCATAATAACACCCTCTTATATTCTTATGCTATTTGAAATTCTTTGAAATTCATCGGGTTTTGCTATTCATTTTGTATATACATGTTCCTGCGACTCGAATAAATATAGTTAAAAAGGAGAAAACTAGTGAATTGAATAAGTTAAAATCTCTATGTTTTTTAAAAAGAACAACCTTTTTACTAACATTTTCACTCTTTTGACCCTTGACTGTTTATTTTTCTCAAATTATACAACATTAATAATTATAGCTTGAAAGATGTTGAATGCAAGACCTCTTTTTTCATAGGCTTCCCTCTTGAGCAATAAGATGCAAACTCTTGAAATATATGATTACACCTGAAAAAGAAGGGACCATTTGGCTAAAAATGGGGTACAAACGTTAGATTTACAAATGATTTTTCAACTTATAATCACTTTTACTGCTGAAGAATTTACCTCTTTTATGAAAAGGCTCCTCGTTATGTTGTAATCCAGCAAGAACACAAAAGGACCAATGGCTTTGGCATTTGGATGCTTCTAGTGGACCCTACTTCTTTGCTTTCTTCTCCAAGAATTTCGCAGGTGCATATGGATTGTTTCCCGAGCCGAAACAAAATTGGGGTAGATCAAAGATAAACACTACTACATCTCGTTCTACTAACAAGTCACACGACATCCAATTAAGTAAAAGTAAGAAGGTATCTAAGGTCCGCACTCCACGTTACCTTGCCGTTCCCACCAAAATGATTAGTAAGCTGGATGAGGCAATTGAGGCAGCTCGACCGAAGTAATGACACAATTCAAAGCGTTACTTTCTATGAGAGGTGCCACCTTTCTCTGAAGTAGGCTTTCGAAGCGATTCCTTAGAGTACAGCTTAAGATGCCATCGAACGAATTCTTAAGGCTTCAATTGATTCACTATATATTGGACAAGCGATTAGTTACTAATAGAGCTATTGAATAAGCGATTGAAGATTGACTTTTTGGAAAGGGAAGAAGTCTTTCAAACACCCAAAAATCTCACTTCTTTGCGGGATTGAATATTTTTTAATTAATATATTAGTACATTCATGCTTGACAATGTTGATGTTGTCAAAATTCGAGCCATTTATTGTAAAATAATTTTTGAAATGGATAAATGTGATATTGCAAAGTGTTAATTGACAACCAAAATTGTCAAATTAAACTATACAGGTAGCGTTGTTTATATTTTATTTTTAATTCTTTTAGTGGAAGTACTGTAAACTATAAAATGCAAATGAAAATTCATAGAATTTATCTATATGTATTGGTCAGATCTCATAAGACTTTCACAAATTTTTGCAAGAGGTCGGTTTAAAAAATTACCCCAAAAAATTCTCACGCCCATGATTGATTGTGTGTATTCGGTGGGGGTTCTACCTGTGACCATGCAGGGCTTAAATTCATAGCACCAAAGAAAAAGATATTGTGATGTAAGTCCATATTCCTTCAATCAAAATTAGTTGCATTCAAATTTGAAGACCCGTTGCTGCAATTCTGACAGCGTTCTGTACCTGCCATGTGCACTTGGCCGGCTGATGCCTTCCTCTCAAATATCTCGAGCAAAATTTCAAAGGCTAAAGCCAAACCAGTTTTTATTAAAAAATAAAGAATATTTTAACTTTTATTAAAGCGTATTTGGCTATGCTTAAGAAAATAAAATAAATAAATGGATATGTTCCCATTTTACCAATTTACAAAGTAAATTATGTTTCTTATTTTGATAGAAAATAAGATGTTACTATAATAAATAATTTATTTATTTTCAAATTTAATTAAAACTTTATTCATTTGATGATTTTGGCATTTACTTCGAAGGGCATAATTTCTTGAAGATGTTAGAAGTAAACTGTTCAAGTTTGGTCCAAGATGAAATTCATTAACGCTTAATGGAAGAATAGAGGATTGTGCACACACACATATGAAAGCGTGAAAGCCTCCACTGGACCAGTCTCTATTAATGGATTATAAGTTTATATCACATGCTCCACAAGAAAAACTCGCATCTCACTGTACGGAAACCACTTCCCAATCGGCTGGGGTCACACCCCACATCATGTGGCCCCTTGTCCATTTTCAGTTTTGCTACACAAGGTGAATTACAATATTTAAAATTAGGAGAACACGTGTCAATATTTTATTGGACAATTTTGAGAAAAAAAAGAGTCATACAGATATCGTCAACACAGCACTTGCCAAAAACCTTATCCACAAACCTTGTTCAAGCAGCATAATTCATTTTGCTATTAGATGGTGATGTCTTCAATAAAAAATAATTACAGGTAAAAATAAAGAAATAAAAGAGTATTCAAAGCATTTTTTACTAGATTAGTCAAATTTACATTTTATTCATATATTTTTTAAAATTTACTTATTATGAGTATAACAAGTGTAGTTTGAATGAAAGTAATGGAGAATTGTATTGAATTGAACTGAACTGAATTGAAATGTATTAATAAATAAAGTTTTGTTTTTCTAATTCTTTAAGCCTTTTTTTTTCCTATCCATTTTACTTTACTAAAAGGAAAAAATAAGAAGTGAACATGGAAATATCGCTTTCATATTAGATGAGTACCTCGTTGTTGTGTCTCTCAAAAGCTAAACGGGAAGAATTTTAGGGTGTCAGTCAGGTATCATCCTGTTATCTGGATCGGATTTGGATGCTCAAACCAACATTTCTTCCCCTTTACAAATTCCCAAGCAAAAAGATAACATTACACATCCATCCACGTCTCTTTCTCATTTGTCTCAACTCATATACATGCCTTTTTAAAAGAAGGGATTCCCATCCATTTTCCTCTTCAACTTATTTAAGGTCTTATTTGCCATGACTTTTGAAAAGTTAAAAAATTTATGAAATCCAAAATTTGCTTTCGTACTCGTTTACCTAGTTTAATGAAAATGCTATTGTCTGTTAAAATAACTTTTAAGGGAAGTTGCTTCAATGTAGCTTTCTCTAAAATCACTTCCAGAATAGAAAGTTAAAACACAAAAAATTAATCAATTTTGTGCCAAAAAAAAACCAATGTTTACTCTAGCAAGCAATTTGCCAATTTGGGCCTACTGAACCCTCAGTGATTTATTATACAAACGACGCCGTGGGGGTGTCGCTTACCTCGAAAGCAATTGGCACTGTCCCACGACCAAGCGCACCAAAGCTCTCAGCGTCCCATTTTGGGACCGACCTAACGTCTTTTTTCTCAAAAAAAAGAAGCACACGTGTGACTCCTACTGATTCGATACAGTATTCCATCGTAATGCTACAAAATTATTGTCCCGAAGAGAGAAACAACTCTTAATAACTATAAAAAGAACCAAAATTAGCTGTATAGCATTAATACTTTCCTATTTTCAAGAAAAAAATCTCTGTCCCCAACAATGTAAAAAACCAGATACCTGAACAAACTCAATGATAAACTTTTAAATTACAGCAAAACAAGAAAGGAAAATAGAATTCATCAATCAAGAAAGGATTTTTAACTCTCAAATTCAACAAATAACTTTGTGCTATCTATCAACAAATAGGCTTGGTCAAAAACCCAAAAACACAATTAGGGACACAAATAAGTTAAAATGAACAAATACCCAAATAATTTAAACTAGTATAAGTTTCTAATTTGATAGGGTTATATGTATGTATAGCTGTAAAGTAATCAACTTTCTTAACGTTTTCTACACCATCCCCTTTTCAGAGTACAACAAAAAACGTGTTTTCCCATTTTATCCTTTCCCAGAAGACGCAGGAATCAAACACGAAAATAAAAGAGGGAAAGAATCTCAATGTTTGCCGGTTAACTATGACGTTGATGATGATCGTGCGGTGACCGACTCAGCCAGTTTCCCGATTCTTTGAACCAACTCCGGTGACAACTTTTTTATCGGTTTCTTCTCCTTTTCTCGCCTGAAATTAAACCCTAATGCATCTGAAATCTCTTCAGAGCTCCACCCCGATTTCTGAAGCAATTCGGAATATTTATCCGCTTTCAGTAGCATAGCATCAAGTACCGCTTGATTATCCAACATCACCATCTCGCCTTCGAAGAACCCGGATGCTGGCACGTGTACAATTTCTGATACGTCTGATTCAGCCCACCCGCCTTCTTTGAGGACTGATCCAATTTGAGTCACATATTCCTCAACCCAATTGGGGATCTTCGATCTTGGCATTTCGAAGTACCTTTCGGGTGATGATGAAGACGAGGATGACGAATTTGAGTTCCTCCGACGGCGATCTATGGCTGCGTCGCTCCAGAACTCCACCCATCTTGGAGTTCTTCCGCCGAAAACTGTATCTAGACTTCTTCTTGAAAAATTTGTTGATGAACCTGCTGATTTTTCACTCACTGAACGTTGCTTGGAGAGAATATTCGGTTCTGGGCCTTGAAACAGTGAAGATTCTCGGTCGAAAAAGTCAGATAAATCAAACCCACAACAGAAAATTATATTTTCGTCGACATAGAATATGGGGTTTCCAGCTAAACATGGATTGCAAGGAATGTAACAATGGTTGAAAACGGGTATCAGAAGAGGGGCCCGTTTGAGTGCGTTTCGTGCTATTTTAAGGGCTTTTTCCGGATCGGATGGGCGCGGACCCCAGGACTTGGACCACAAAGCATTCCGTGATATGTGAAAGGTGATGGAGGCGATTGGTAGGTCAATGGAAGCGCGGAGTTGCAGGCGAGCAGAACCAGACGAGCGCCAGTCAGGGAAGCCAGGTCCTAGAGGCAAACCAGCCGATAACACAGCTTTGAGGTCCGGAGGGAAGGCGAACCCAAACTCTGCCTCCGCTAAAGCAAATTCGGCTTCGGATAGCCCCGGCCGGACTTGGATGCCCGAATTCTTGAGATGGCTGATGACTTTATCTGCTAAGGAACTGAAGGATAGGAGACTGTTGCGCGGCGGCAGTGGCGTGGAGGGAGCGGAGGCGGCAGCTCTGGCGGAAAGGCGGCGTAGGCCGGCCATGTGAGCCGGATTTAAACCGGTCATCCTCCTATCCACGTCTACCATTCTCGTTCTTGTACTTTCAATCTATGAAAAAGGATAAGAATTTCTTTCTTGAATATCGGTTCTTGATTTGTAACTTTGCAATAAACTTCACAGTAAAATGGCTCCTTTGTGTGGTGAATTAGTTGGAGAAAGTGTAAAAGTTGAAAGATGGAGTGAAGCTAATGCTGAAGTGAAAATAAGGAAAAGGAACGACATTAGAGGATTTATAGCGAAGTAGTGGAGTGGGGGCCCACTTTCAGATTTTATTGAACTAAAAATTTCCTCCTTTTTCCTTTCTGTTTCATTTATTATTATTATTGATATTATTTTTGTAGAATTAATGGCGGTGACAGATTAATTTTTTACTAATTACGCTGAACACAGATTAATATTTTACTAATAAGTCTCAATCAGTTAATTATTACAAAGATGGGTTCAACGGTACTCTTAATATGCAAGTGGAATAGTCAATGAGTGAATTAAAATGGAATTAATTTAATTAGGAGAAAACAACGTTCAAAAAACTGGTATTAGGAGTTGATTTGTTGAGTGTCTTTAGTGATGAGCAAAATAAGGAGAAAAGTTGAATGAGTTGGGGTTGCTCCGTAAGAGCCAGCGGGGAGTATTAATTTTTATACAGGCACCGCTTGAACAGAGCAAATTTAATAGATTTGTTTTAATTCTCATAAAGAAAGCTCATCTTTATAGAACAGAGAAAATATATTTTTTGACACAAAATTTTTAAAATGATTTTGATTATTGATTACTCATGCTACGTGTATATTATTCTTTGCATTATTTTTTATACTTTGCCACGTGACAATATATCATTGAATAGTTTAAATTTTTGAATAGTCTTTTTCCCCAATCAACCCTTGACGCCATCTCCATTGTCAACAAAAGAGTGTACTCTTGTCATTTTCCATGTATATATGAAGATGAAAATTGTATCAAATGATGGGCTTTACTAGTTGAAAAGAACGACTTTGAAAGCATGATGTCCTTGGTAAGGTTCGAAATTGTGTACACACATTCTGTGAATTTTAAAAGTTAATCGAAAAATTGCAAAAAAAATAAAAATGTTCTAGTACCTACTGGTTCATGGGGTTTGAAAAAAATCCAATCAATGACATTTCAATTGTGCATTGGTCTTATTATGTTGATCAAATTAAATAGGGTCCGATTTAATAAGTATTAAGTCCCTGTTTGTTTCCCATTCTTTCCTCCAGTAAAATGAAAAATATGATCGTTATCTATCACATCAAACTACCAAATTTGAATTTCTATCTCTTGTGTGGGACCCATAACGATTATATTTTTATTCTCATTTTGACAAAAATAGAAAACAAACGTCCCCTAAATCAAGATGGTGAATTAAAGTCCCTCCAAACTGGCAGATACTAGGTAAGAATCAAATTAATAGTCCTTTTGTGACTCCGGTAACTATTAAATTAATATGTTATTGTTTCAAGAGAAAGTTCTATCAAGATAATTACCATTTTTTCTATTTAGTACTGACGTTGACAAGAACAAATTTTGAGCCAATTGTACATCCATTCAAATAGAAAGTAATGGACACAACTCTTTCTCCTCTTGGGACATATTTGTCACATTATAGGTACATGTGTACTATACATGTGCATCACAAACTTTTGACGGTCATGGTGAACAATTGATGAGCTATCACTACATCATTCATCTATTTGATAATTGAGGAGCGCGAATAAATGATGCACATATTGACTTTGAACTATTAGATTGCACGGTGTATATTGATTAAATGATTTTGGTTTGGAACGATATGGTACTTTTTGAAGGATTACAGGCTTAATATAATTGACTCACCAAGTAATTATAGGGTCTGGAGGGATATAACTCCAACTTTGATTCAAGATATGAACACTGAGATTATATTTTTGTTACGGTTTGGCCAACAAATCTCAAGATCAACATTAGAGTTCACATAATAAATATGTCAAATAGCATGTTCAAATCGTAATAGACGATGAGTTTGTGGATGGAAACTTAAAGAAAATTTGCACCAAACATGATTAGCAATTCACGTAATTATTTTGATTTTAATTTTTGTCGATCAATATTATGGTAGTAGAATTTTAATGAGAATAGATTTATGTATGTGTCCGTAATTGGTATTGTGGTAAAGAATTTTGGATTCATCTGTTAATATTGTGAATCATCTATTGTATATTTTATTGAATATTTTAAATTTATTCCTTATCTAAATATTTAATTATAGATCTAACTAACTGTAAGTTATTTCAAACCAAGCACGTGATACAAACACTGACACCATCCAAAATAACAATCTTAGGAACTTTATATATTTTGCCAGATAGAGCCTAGAGGTGAGGGTCTAATTGAAATTTGAAGCTTCATAAATTGACTTTGAACATGTGGGATGTGACCTTAAATTTCGTTCCTTTATTAAGTATAAAGATGAAGCATATAATATTAATGTGGCTTTTGCTTGGCATAGTCAACAAATTTTATTCTTATACTATGCACAACTTAAGCCGGCCTTATTTAATTAATTTTAGTCAAAGTCAATAATTAATTTTAATAGCATATTTTATAAGATTTACAACTTTTCAACCACACATTTCATCTTTTATCAAAATCGAATGAAAATCTGATTTTAGTCTCCTCTAAATAGGAGCTAAATATTTACCATCACAATGGCTAACAAACTGTCTCAATGGTTCATAATTATCCTGAAATATCATATTTTAATGATGAAGTTCTTATGAATTCTCATTCTTACATTTGATCTCTCCATGTAATACTATAGTAAGATGAAAAATGGGCACTCGTACAAAATAAAGATGCATGATAGGACTTACAGTTCGTAACAACTTTATTATAAAAAAAAAAATTTATTAGTCAAAGTCAATAATTAATTTTAATAGCATATTTTATAAGATTTACAACTTTTCAACCACACATTTCATCTTTTATCAAAATCGAATGAAAATCTGATTTTAATCTCCTCTAAATAGGAGCTAAATATTTACCATCACAATGGCTAACAAACTGTCTCAATGGTTCATAATTATCCTGAAATATCATATTTTAATGATGAAGTTTTTACGAATTCTCATTCTTACATTTGATCTCTCCATGTAATACTATAGTAAGATGAAAAATGGGCACTCGTACAAAATAAAGATGCATGATAGGACTTACAGTTCGTAACAACTTTCTTATAAAAAAAAAATTTAAGTTAGCTCCTACAACAGATATGTAATAACAAGAAACGGTTTATTAAGCAACAATGACATGACAAGTCAATTTATTGATGGATAATGAATTTAATTCAAATATCGAGATTCTATGTTATTTCATTGGTTTTTAGTACATTATTTTTTCGTGGAATAATAATTGAATTAAACTGGGTTTGTATTTATTGGAAGAACAGCAACAAAATCATTTTCTCAACAAATTTTGGATTATTTGCATTTTTTAGCTAACAACCATCTTGTATCACATCATAAGAAACATAGATCAAATCAAAAAATAAGACGAGATTAGATTTGTTAGGGCGAGAGGAGGAAATGGACCATAGAGCAGGGCTACTAACTCACATTACGTGCTACAAAAAGCTCAATAAACGACACAATAGGTTGTGGAAAAATGCAAGCAGACAAGCAGTGGAGGCAAACGCCGTGGAAAAGAGATGATAAATCCATTTTCTTGTCCAATGATCCACCGTGCACGGTGGGGTTCAATGTTAATCAAAGTTTTGATATATGATGGGCAGCGTCACTTTCTTGTCTTCCTCCCACATACCAAGCATATGCATGTTCCCTTAAAACTTGATTAGTCAAGCTATCAACTCCCCCACCGCTGTGTGGGAGGTGGCACATACGTCTAAATTTCGTAATAAATTGAGTTTGTTGTGATTTTAAACAAGACAGACGATGTACTGTTCCATTAATTGAATTAGGTGAGATATCTTCAATATATATTTGTGAGTGTGCACAATTCTACATGCAACTTATATAGACACATTTCTTGATTTGCGCATATCATCTTCATGCAGGGATCACGTTTACCTTCTATGTTTCATTCCAATTCTATCCAATAATCCATAAATTTAAATTCTCGAGTAGCATCTGCATCAATATAATAGAGATTTTTCAATTGCATATACAAACTCTTAACCTATTCTTGATGTGAATAACAAATAGTTACACTTTGTCCTACTCAGCTCGATCCCTGACATTAACCTTTTAATCTCACTAAATGCGTGTGCTTCTACGATGCATGTAAATAACGCATCATCATTATATGTAAGAAAAAATATTCGAATAACTTGAAAGGTTGGCCAATATTTAGCTCAATGGAAATAAAAATAAAATAAGATATTTTATGAGATTGACGACTATTTTCACGATAATATCACGTCAAATTGACTATTATATAATTGAAAAAACGCGTGTTTAGAAGATCATAATAATTTTGTAGGTTCCACCTAACATTATAATCAAAATATAAAATTTTGTAAACACACAATTAGCAATAAATATATCTTAAAATAATTCCTAAGAGATTCCCCATCCCATGTTCGCCATCAACCGTCCAATAATTATAATATGATCGAGAAAGTTTATAGGGATAATGGTGGTTAAAGCCTAAACCAAGGTGATTTTCAAAAAACGGATTGCCCTTCGTTACTTCATTGTTTATATATACTAGACGAAGTGTTGAATATATTTATTCATTGTTTTAACGAAAAATATATTTTTTGATTCGATTCTTTTATCAAAAGCAAACCCATTAAATAATCCCGGTTTGGATTGGTGGGGTGCAAAACATTTTAAAAAGATGATGACTCAAAAGTATTTAAATCGCTAAAGTTTCTTGTTTAAATTAGGTGTTGAGATTACATCGACTTATTATATTCTTGAATAAGAAATGAAAGATAGTCATAGAAAAAGGTTTGGGCATAGGATTGAAATGGGAAAAGGTGAGGATGGAATGGAAGGTTAGGAGTTTAACAACCGTTTGATATGATTTTAAAAAGTCATATAAGTTATTTTTGTATATATTTGAATAATTTTCTAAATGTGTTTTTTTTTACCGTCAGACGCCCCACCAATAGGGGGGCTCCCTGTCCCAAACCTTGGAGAAATTCCCGGTTTGAATGGCTTTTCTCTTTTTATAAGCAGCATAAATCCTGTCAAATCGACCTAAATGGAATAACTATGGTGGGTCATGGGATGCATGCATGTGGTTTAGATGGA